ATATTTTAAAAGGGCCAACAATGTGGCCCCTAATGACGAATCAAATGGGCATTCCAACGAAATTAAGAGGGTCATTATAGCCACGGCGGGGCATCCCCGCACAAGTACAAGGAGCAGAGACTGATATTGAGACTCTTGGGACATGTGGACCATGCTTGGCCTGGAAGTCACTTTGTACATTCGGCGGCCATCGGGCGTGGAAATCTCTCGAGGCCTATTCTGGAGAAGCATGCGCATCATGGTTTTGGAGTTCCGTGTTTAGGCGTTGGGTTCGGGCAGTCGCCGCAGCAATTCATAGTTCCAAAGTTTTGAAACAAGGTACGGTCTGGAACTTAGGGGTTGCATTCTGCAGGAACTCTGAAGCTTCAGGACTCTAAATGGGTTCTAGGCCGAGGTGTGGCAAGAATGTTACCATGTAGCCTTTGGGCTCCATGTTGAAGATCACATACTGCCAATTAGAGAAACTCCCATTGCATCCATGTCTCCTGACCGATGGAGATTGAACTGTGCGGTTCCATCAACAAGGTTCAAAAAGGATGCCAGGTCTTATTAGAAAATCCTAAACTACTAACCATAATCTCCAAATCCTATATATCCGTATAGAATGTGTAGGTTTCCTTGAAGGGACCCCCTCAACCCCCACGTGGCAAGCCGAGCAACCTTATTCGACAGCACATTAGCCAAAATCAACAGAAACTGTTTTGTGCTTAGGGCTTAGATTTTGTTATTTTGGGATCCCCCCCAGCCATACTAGATTTTGATCTTGGAGTCATCCACCAAAAATGGGGCCAGACTTTTGGGAATGTATTTGTGAACCCTGTGTCGCAGTAGGCCGCTTGCCTTGTCCCCGCGAAGCTCCCAGGATCGAATGGAAGCATCATCCAGCAGACCTAGCAGATCATATGGTCTGTGCCGCACCAAATCTGCATGACCCCAGAAGTACAATATGGTTGGGGGACTAGCAACCTAGCGCTCTGCTATGCTAAGGTCATGTGGCTTTCCGATATCATTGGCATCATCCCTGGTTATTTGGCCGTGCTAAATCAGGATGGGTATGAGGTGCATGGCAATTTCTATGGAGGTCCTCGAAACAGGTGGTACGGGATCCTTAAGTGTGACCACTATGGCTAGAAACATGGGACGACGCTATCTACTAATGTACACCCTCTACGTGCATATGCCTATACACCCTACAGCCCTGAAGACTTGAAATGCGGCTAAGGACATGTAAGGAGTCCATAGCTCCAACCGGAAATGTTTGTGCCAATTATGGGAAGTTCAGAAAGATCTAGGTTGCTACAAGCTAGGCTACAAGGCATATCTTCCAGTCAACCGACGTGGAACCCCGCTTGGGGCCATACAAAGACTACCACCGTGTTTTTGGATTTTACACTTCTTTAGTATACCACGGCGATGTTTTTTGAATGGGGCCGGGACTATTTATGTTTGGGTTTGTGGTTCCGTGCTTGGGATGGGCACTTACAAGCCCTTTCAAAGTGGCGAACCTAGGGTTTGCGATTTAGGGAATAATTCCGAAAGCTGACACCAAGCCATGTCAGGGGCCATTTTCTGTATGACGCGCAAATTGAAGTAAAGGCCAGGTGAAGATCTGAGCATGCGAGCATGCAAAACCCAACGAAGCGCCCCAATGCAAGGATCAATGGCGTCCATGCTCATGGAAAACCAGATCTTTAAAGAGCGCCCGATACGCACATAAATCCTAGCAACGTCTAGGCATGGTGTGTCCATACCTGCACAGGCTTGCGAACTTGCAGCGGCGGCCAGCTGGCTAGCAGCACACTTCGCAGACCCAACACTTGAGATTTGGCAGTGTGTCTTTTGGCCGGAGGCTCACACCACTTTCTAAACATTTTGTCACAAGTTTCCCCAAGTCATCCTTCACCTTCTTGATATTTAACTCTGATTCCTGTGGATCCATATCCTTGGCTGTTGCATCCTGAAGGGAGAACAGCTTCTTTAAGGGATGAAGTCATGCAGAAAGGAGACCTCCGTCAGGAATGCACGGCATTGCTAGATCCTCTTCTACACAGCGTCTGTTCTGGAGGTCTTCAGCTGGAGCATGGCGGAAGCAATGGTTCCATTGCCAGGCTCATCGTACTCTTCAGAATGCTTTTAGAGCGATTGGGGAGGGAACCTGGAATAAGGCAGCCCATCTTCCTGATTTCGAGGGTGCCACGATTTGGCGACTAATCCTGGCTCACTGGATGTCCCTGAGGATAGCTCCGACAAGATGCGAAGATCGCCATCTCGCTCTAAGCGGTTTGAAGCTCAAATTTATTCAAAGGTGTCATATACGCACACACAGGCACACCAAACGCATGCACCCCTAACTAGAGGCTACTGCAATTGCTGGTTAGGACTACTGTATATACAGTTGTGATCTACATACTCAATATGTCCTAGAGAGACTGAAGTCGATCTGTGGTGCAGGGCGTCAAGAACTGTAAGCCCCAAACCCTTTACAATCCCTGATGCCACTGGCCCCGAACTTCACATGCCCAACCCTGAACCCTCACCAACCAACCTGGTAAGACCCTTAATCCCTTCAAACCCTAAACCCTGAGGCCCTGAACCCTGAACCCACAAGCCCCCAACACATCAGGCGAATGCTCGCCGTGCCGTGCCTGCCAGGCTATGGTGGCTGCAGGACCACGAGCTCTGCAGGATTTAGGACTTGTACGGTTTAGGGTTTAGAGTCCAGGGCCCAGGGAATCTCTGAGGTGCTGTGACTCATGGTTGGAGAACTTGATTTACTTGCCGAAACAGCTGGAACCTTGTCATTCGCGCGGTATACATCGCCCGGAATGTCCGAGTACCCAATACTCAGACTCAGATGCTTGAAAACGAGAACGGGTTCTCCGTCAGTGGCCGCTGAGGGCCCCGAAGTTCGCAGTGCAGGGGATACAACTGAACATCTGAGTATCTCGAACATTTCGCAGAATAGGGTGTTCCTTGCATACTTCAATACTTCAAAATATGAGCGCGGTACCCATGTACCTATATAGTATTTACTGAGCATAATATGGGTGAATGGAACCCCTTTGAGCCCAAAGATGTACTACACTCTACATGAACATTTCGGGGAGGATCCTTGGGGCCTCGTGTTTTGACATTCGCCGACGCCGCCGACAACACAGGCACATCGTAGGAGACCATCATTTAAGACTAACGCTTAACCCTAGGTCCGTTTTTGGGATTTAGGATTTATGGTTTGAAGTATCTGGTCAGCCACAATCCGTTCCAAGCCCCCAACCGCACAAGACAAGTTCAAAGACCTCAGACCTGAACCTCGACCCTGTCATTGGGTAATTTACGTGTGGGCAATTTCCATAGTAGTCCCATGAAGAAACCCACAGCAGGTAACTGAAGGCGCATAGGAGGCTACCAAGCTGTGAACTTGGAGCTCTACTTCTCCCTTCTACCCCCCAACTCCTAAAACGGGACACTCTGAACTCCAAACCCTGGCGCCTAGTTCCTCCCACAAATCTCTACACATCCGTATGATTGTGCAATTATACCCGTCAGAGGCCCTCTAAGCCAACAAGCCAACTCCCAAGCCCAAAAGCGAAAGCCCTAAAATCCCACCCATGGGCTCCTATGTAGTTCCTTTTTAAGGTTGCTGTTTGTTTGGGCTAGGACCTTATAAGATACTACCCCAAAAAAATATGCATGGGATGCCTTTAGTAAACTCCAATCCATGGACCCAAACCTGGCACCCCATCTGAACACTCAACCTCATCTAACCCCCCCACTGAGGGGAACCAATGTACACTGGAAAGCGTCCTTACCCGATGCTTTGCTTCTTTGCGTTTTCTTGAGGGTCTCGAGCACTCCAGGCATTCCCGAAAACTCCCAGAAAACCTTGTGCAAGTACACCCAATATAAACCCTGCTCACCAAGCACCAAACCCCCACAACCCATCTGGCTCGCCTCCGCAGGCTTAGCGCCACTGGAACCATGCCCTTCTCAGGACTTTCAAAAACACCGTATTGAGGAAAAGGGTGTTGATGCACGAAATCCTGCACCACCTAGCTCCCTAAAGTAATGCAATTCACAGGAATTTAGAGACTCAGGTGGTGCAGGTTCAAGATTCTTATGAGGACCTCCCGATAGGAACTACATTGGTGGGTCTAGGCAAGGGCTGTATAATGTTTGTCCCCATCCAAAGCAGAAGCCCTACACGCTTGAGTCAGATGCTTGGTCTTAGGTGCGACCTTTTCCTCGACACCTTGTCTGGTTCCACATTGCGATACCACAAGAAATTTAAGCTGCAAGCTCCTGATTGCGTTGTGCTCTAAACAACTTCAACTCAGCCTTGCCTGCTTGCGTTTCCCTGTCTCTTAGATTTCTGGCTCCACAGGCCACATTTTTGCTGCTATTCAATGCCCCGTCCCACAGCATCCTAATGGAGAATCAAATTGAAAAGAATATCGAAGTTGAAATTTGCAACTGGAATGCTGAAAGGCTGTAAGGTTTAGGGCCAGAACACGCGGGCGCTTATCTTTTATGCGGCCATCTGCGCAGCCCCCTCGCCGAGCGCAGCAGCGAGGAGATGCCTGGACTGACGGGCACGCTTGAGACTGCGAGGAAGTGCACTGCGTGAAATGCCCGAATTCGGGGGTATTACATTACAATAATTCAGAGACCTTGGGGTGGTGCAAGATGTCCAACAACGACCACCGTAGCTGAAGCTCCTAAATCAAGGCGACCCAAGACTAGGACAAATCAAATGGAAATTACGCACACGAGCGAACAAATCCTGTGCATTTCTTGATTTACTATTCAACCTGACTAACGCACAACAATAATGCTACGCCGTACATACAATCTGAGCCGGGGTTGGAACATTTTGAATAAGGATTATCAGGGACGATGCTCCTAATTGTTAGCTTTTCTACGTACAGTAAGCCTAAACACCCTTTCAAGGCCCGGAACCTCAGGGGCAAAGGCCACAAAGCACAGCAGGTTCAGGAGAGCCGTCAGCGTGCAGCAACCATAGCCTATGCGTCGCAAAAAGGTGGGTCTTTTCTTGCTTGAGCGGAGTTGAGTTTGGGGTTGTCCATAGCTCTTCGAAGCAGTGGCATGATCTGCTTCCCTCCTTTCAATTCATCCATTTCTCGTGAACATTTGCCAGATTGCGGCCAGTGCAGCGGACTCAGGGAAGAATTGCATGACACGGATGTCTCACCAGTCTTTTAATCCTAGACCCTAAAGTGCCGACAGACTATCATTGCGACTTTTGCCAGCGATACATGTCTAAGGCATTCTAATCCTTGACCTGAAAATGAAACACCAGCTTGCCTCCCAATACAAAGTATTTACTGCACTAGCCTGAAGATATTCCGGCAACATTGCGGCCTTTACTCTGTCATACATGTTGAAACGTAAGTTAATTCAGGGAAGCGTTCAAAAACTGGGATATCGAGGGTCCATGTACAACTTCCTGCGGAGATCAGCTGATGTGAACGCTTTCAGGATTAAGCAGGGTTGCCCACTTGGAAAGCTTGAAGGCTATATAGTACCAGTTGGAGTTGATGAGATCCGTAACCGAACCCGCATGGAAAAAGCCGTCTGGCCTCCAAGCGACCTGTGTTCTCGAACCCGAGCCACAGCATTTGCCGTGGTTCCAGCGCACCCTCGCGCAACAGTGCCTTGACAAAGCTTGATTGCTGTTCTCTGGTAGCCCGGCAGATCCAAATGAGCGGCATCAGCTCGCAGCTTCGGACGAACTCCAGAAGCACCGTGGTCTTGCCAGCTCTGGCACAGACACTGCTTGCGGCGGTGGATGTCTGCCCCAGTATAGAGAGCGCAGCCTGTTGGTCGCGCGTGAAATGCTGGGACGGCAAGCATTGCGAGTGCGTCCGCGGGTTCTGGTTCTCTGTTTAGTACGCTTAGTTGAGGCTAGCCAAGGCTACTCAAAGGTGAACCTAGTAAAGGAGCGCGCCTGCGAGAACCCATGAGTTTAGGGTCGACAGCAGAAAATTAATCCTGAACCCCTGAAACTCTGAGACTCCACAACCCTTGAACGGACTATTTACCCAAAACCCTGAATGTCTGACACCTTCAAACGCAAACATACCTAAAGCGTAAGTCTAAAACCCTGAATCTAGAATCGTGGCCCAAGCATGTGGCCCCGTTTCTCTGGTAGATGCCTTCCGTGGATATCCCTCAACTCTACACCCCGAACCCAAAAAGCGCTCAACCCTCCACCTACCTAGAAATAAGTTCAAGTTTGAGGGGTTACAATACTATCCCGCCAAAAAATAAGATCCTGGGGTAAACAAGGACTAGATCACGCTTAATAATTGGGTTCTAAACCTTGGGAAGGTAGTTGTGGGAGGGGCTTGTACCGCAACCCTTCATAGGCCCGACACCCCATCGTCCCTGACCCCTCACTCCACACCCCGCAAGATTCTAAATCTGACGCTGTGAATCACCCCAACCGCTATACGAAGGACCCTTTAAATTATCACAACGAAGGACCCTTTAAATATCACAATATGATAATAATGGGATCTTAAGCTTAAGCGTTTGGGTAACTCAAATCCGTTTCATAATCCCCTCCTCCATTATTAAGGCGCCACCCCTGCCCTAATATTCAATGATCCCAATATTATATACTCCACAATGGGTAGGTCTAATATTAGGGGAGGTGATTATACGGGTCACCCCCTCTTTGATATACCTGGAGTTACTCAAGCCAAAACTCCTGAAATCCTGGGCCCTAAATCTCTGAACCTTTACTCCCCCAAAACCGCTACACCACACCTGTACATCAAAAAGATTCCCTCAACCTCGAGCCCGGTCCCACGACAGTCATGCTGCTAAGACGACTTCGGCAACCCTCACCTCTTCCCCCCCACAATCAAGGACGCCCTAGCCATCAAACTACGATCGATGGCTCCAAATTTTCGGGTTCGGGGTTACCACAATTCTCGCGTTGCAGGCTCTTCGGCTAGCCCCTATCCAGTCAGATCCGCTATCCCCAGAAACCCCTGCGTAAGCCCAGTTCCCAAGGAATTTCCATTGACCCTCATCAGAAATGGTCGCTAAGCACCAAGGCTGCATATGTATATATATATATACATACATACATAACTCCCTGTAACCCCTTCAAGGGACCTGCAATCCCTAAACCCGAAACCCTAAACCCTGATCCTTTTTTTGCAGGCTGGGATAATCGCCGCACCTTATGTCACAGGCCCTAAGCCCCTAAATCCTAAACCCTGAACTCCTGCACCCTAACCCCTAAACGCTTAAACCCCTAAACCTGAAACCCTTAATAGTAGTTTCCATTTCCTTTTCCATTGTCCCCATGTAACCCCAATATTATTACCCTTAACATGACCCCCAAACCCTAAACCTTAAGCCCTAGCCTGAACCTGGCTGACGAAGATGGAGTGAGCCTCTGCGCTTCATGTGAAGGATCTACCAAGAATGTTTAGGGATTATAGGGTTTAGGGATTCCGGAGTCTAGGGATCAGGCTTTGGGGACTGTAGGCTTTAGGGATTTTAGGGTCGAGGGATGAGGGTTTAGGGATTATAGGGTTCGGGGATTATGGGGTCTAGGGATTTGGCTTTGGGGATGTTAGGCTTTAGGGATTTTAGGGTCGAGGGATTAGGGTCTAGGGATTATAGGGTTTAGGGATTATGGGGTCTAGGGATTAGGCTTTGGGGATTTTAGGCTCGATGGATGTTAGGGTTTAGGGACCATAGGGTTAAGATGGGTTAGGGATTATGGGGTTTAGGGGTTAGGGTTCACGGATTAGGCTTGGGGGATTTCAGGCTTTAGGGATTTGGGGGTTTAAGGATTAGGGATTAAGGATTATAGGGCTCAGGGATTGCAGGCTTTAGCGATTGCAAGTTTTGGTCTCGGGATATTACCTCAGACACGGAGAAGCACATGCACAAAAACACGGAAAATGAAATGGAAGCTGCGGTTATATAGTGGTTGATAAGGATAACGGTGCAATAACATATCTAGCAAGACGACCCACACAGACCCTTAATTGGGATTTTAGGGGCCCCTAATGGTGCGTATTTAGGCCAGAATCGACGGTAGTTGGAGGGTTTGGGGTTTAGGAGTTCAGGGATTTAAGGAATGGCGATTTATGGATTTGGGGTCTAGGATTTATGGGATTGAGGGCTTGAGGATTTAGGCTCTAGGGTTGCACCTCGCAGCTTGTGATGGTTCTACGACGATTTTTTGGGGTATGCCATCATATGATGCAGATTGTAGGATAGAGTGCCACTGCTGAGGCATGCTGATTTTTTTGAAATGGGTTTCGAGGCTGGATATAGCTGTCGATGTGCCTTATGATGGATATAACAACGACTTCGAACACAAGCTGCGTGTTTCTCCTGAAAACCAACACTCTACACAAACAAGCTCCAATCACAGCCAACAGCGCCCAAACCCATCCTACCCTCCTGCTATATAAGCTTTACACTCGAAACCCTGAACTCTAAGCCGACCAGCCTTAGTTGAAACCAAAACACTACGCCCCAATTGAAACCTAAACCTTACACCGCAAGCCCTAAACCCTAAAACCCAGACCCTGAATCCATATTATGCTAACACTGGACCTCCAAACTGTGTGGCCCTAGACCCGTCTTGTCCTGCCTCCATGTAAAGTTGTTGGCAGGGAGCCTTGTAGTAGTGGCAGCCTCCGCTGGGTTCATACGGATAGGTTCAATAGAGCTGGTTAGGATTTAGGTTTGTAGAGATGAATGATAAGATGCTATGTACTGCCCCAAGCTGGACACCAACATGCTTCAGGAACCCTATATACACTCACCAATGCCTACAACAAAATCCTACCCTCTTTGGGGTGCCCAGAACACGGTCGATGGGCTAGGGATTATCACGGATTTCGCGATGTAGGGGTGGTCTAGGCAAACCGCGGGCATCGAGGGAGTTTACAACGACTGGGATGCCCACTTGGAAGTTCTTGGGCATCACTCGCGGGGTTTAGGGTGACCCTAACCCTAAACCCTTGAGTCTTCAGGTTTAGGGTGTGGGTAGCTTCCAGCAAAAGTCACGACCTTGTTTTGTACCACCACGATACAAATTCCCGTCCTCGTGTTGGTGGGGTTTAGGGTCAGCACCGCGCAAAAGCACGAAATTGAGACTTAGCCATGTCATGTGTAGAAGAGCCAGGGGAAGGTAGTTGGCAAAAACACATGTGGTTCTCAAATTGTGGTCACTCCAGCCTGGGGTCCATACTCCACACTACTCTTGATGGCACCAATTTTTTAGGCTATACACGGGGACCCCAACTTCAGAACCACCCCTCTATGCGCAGGAGTTTGCCTAACTTCGGAACACCCACTGTTGCCCCCCCAGCCTTCAACCACATAGGGGTTTCCCACGCAGGAAGCCTCTAGGGACCCCCTAGGCATGTGCGGGCGTTTTTTGGGGATTCATGGGCTTCCCCTGCGAAATTCTACCTGGGCAGGAGGGGCATTTTGAGAAACTCCTATGTAATTACTCGTTGCTTGTGCTGCTACGAATACACGGCATGGTGATATGTTCTCCTTCTCGGTGCCCCTAGATCAGACAACAAAGAATCCAACACCGTAATGACGCAGAAAAACCAATCTCCAGCCAGTAAGCTCGAGAGGCTCGCGCAGGACGAACCCAAAACCCCATGCCGGCTGACCTATACAAACCCTCACCACGCTCTTCCCACTCAAGGTTTTTGAGCTTACGCCTGTAGACTCCGAACCATGAACCGTAGAACCCCGACCCCGTGAACCGCACTACCTACCCTATAAGCTCATGCAAGCCTTTTTTTTGGGCGGGGTACCATCATCCCGTACAAGTCACCAACAAAAGAACTACACAGGAGCACCCGGGTAGACCCTGAGCCGATCCAACAAATTCCAACAAATTTGCCAGACCCTAGGACCCACAGGTGTGTTGACACCTCTAAACCTGAAAAAAAAGTCCTACGTACATATGTGGGGGATACTAACATGAGCAGCACTACTACTATTGCTGCTACTACTACTACTACTACTACTAGTACTAGTACTAGTACTAGGACTAGTACTAGTACTAGTACTAGTACTAGTAGCAGCAGCAGCAGCAGCAGTGGTAGTAGTAGTGGTAGTAATAGTCGTAGTAATCGTCGTAGTAGGAGGAAGGATGTTCCCGTAGAGGCATCATAAGTGGCGTGCTATGCCTTAAACGTTCCTCCAATCCCTGTTCTCATTATAGCCAAAGCCCTAGGAGAGCGCTTCGGATTCCTCTGCCCCCAAACAAGCACAGAAAACCCCTACATGGCCGTCTTGCTGCATCGAAGACGCCCCTGAATTGGTCTACTGTTGGGTTGCATCACCCTAAGCTGGGTTGCTGTTCTGGAGTTTAATATAGTTACCAGAAGGGGTCGCTATAGTAATTAACAGGGCTTCCCCAATATAGTAACTTAAATTCAGTTCTTTAACAGCAACCCAGTAAGAGTCCAAGTACTCAATAACCATGTACTTACCAAAACAAGAGTACTACAACCACTATTGGCAAAATCCTAAGTACCTAATTATCGGGTACTTGGACCCAAGAGGTAACAGTTTGGGTACCCTAGGTCCCCATAAGAGTCATTTGATACTCATAGGCTCCTTGTTTTGAGGGTCGACGCGGCCAAAACCCAAAAACCCGAAATCCCTAAAGCCTGAACCCTAAATCCCCAACCTTACACCCCAAACCCCTAAACACTCAACCCTAGACCCCTAAACCCTAAACTTGCTCAGGTCGTCTTAAGCTTATTGCTCCGCGATGCCTCGCCAGGGATGCTTTCAAAGCCCGTGTGGTCCTGGCAGTTAAGCTTTTCTAAGGGATCTAGGGGTTTAGGGTTTAGGGCTTTGGGTTAAGGTGGATGCTAGAGCTTACGCTCTGCTGGGAGTTGGGCGAATGGGTTACATGAACGAAGCCCTTCATATTGATCTCTCATATTAAGCAGGACCAACACCCCTAACATTGAACATGTCATAATGGTCTGTTTAGAGGAATATTGAACATCAGGGATGGTGGCAGGATAGTTTATTGGTGAGACGGCTCCATTGCATGATCATGATTGATGATTGGGGATTCTCCCCTAAACCTTGACCTCTAAACCCTAACCCCTAGACTCTAAACCCTAAATCAGCCTAAACCCTAGACCCTAAACCCTAAACCCTATCCAGTTCCCATGCCCAAGTGAGCATGTGGGGAGTTGCGGGAGAAAGCTGTCCAGTGGTGAATCTTCTTCCTACGTACTCCATGAGTTTAGGGCTGAGCGCTTAGGGTTTAGGATTTAGGGCTATAGGGGTGTAGGCCTTAGGCTTTAGGGATTTAGGGCTTAGGCTCCTGCATATTCCTCTCACATAAACCGACATTCCCTCTGCCCCTTGTTGAAAGGAAGCGGGAATTCAATGCCAGGGCTCTCATCAAAGCTTCCAGGGCTCAGGGTTTGGGGTTTTGCTTCTAGGGTTCCCTAAGCCTTATAAACCTCAAACCGTAACTTGGCTGTAGTAGCTCTAGCTCCAAAACTTTCAGGAAACCTGCACCACAAGTTCCCTGCAGCTTTTCGTTCCCGAACTGCACGCCTAAAAACTTGAACTCGAGTCCTCTCTCTCCCTAGGGATCCCAATTACTTAAATCGGAGGCTACTGGGCTATGAAACCTCATTGTAGGGTATATAGAACCTAGAGCCCATTATTTAGGTAACTGGAGCCCTAGGGTCTAAGCAAGATGGTACCCTATGCAACATGTAGACGTTTTCGAAGGACAGCAGTCTTGATCCAGCACTTTTGGGGGGGGCTCGATGCCAGTTTGGTGGGAGTAAATCCCAAACCCAAAGCCCGTAAAGCCCCTTAACCCTAAACCGCATGAAGCTAACACTAGGGATCCATATATGTAAATAATCCCTACATTGGGCCCCAAAGTCTGTAAATATTACCTACATTGGGTTATTTGGATCCCTAGGGTAAGCCAGTTTGGGGCTACTCTCTATACAAGCCACCAATTGGAGAGAGGTTGCTGCCCTCAGCCTGTAGCCCTGGACATCCCTAGAGCCCTTGTACTGATCACCGTCATGTCATCGCTTGCCCCTAAATATTGAAGACGGGTGGGAGTATGTACATTACGGGGGGGGCCCTTTAGTATTAGGGGGAAAGGGGTAATCCATATGAAGCCCCTCTTGGTGTTCTGTGCGCAGCGCTCCTCCAGATATCGCACGAAGAGCTGCGAGCCCGGAAGTTCGAACTTGCTGTGTGTGCGGCAGTGCAGTCGCGACATCGACCAGAGAGCCTCGTCACGAGGGTACGTCTGGGTCCTTTTTAAGAAGGTTTGTGTGGGTTTAGGGCGTTAGGTACTCTACTCATAAAGGGTACAGCAGGGTTAGAATGAGGTTGCTAAAGGGAACATGCTGTAATATGTCACGCAACTCCGCGGTCCCAGCACTCATATGAACTTCCTTCTTCTGGTCTGGTGGTCTATTGCCTGTTGCAATGCTTACTGCAAGCCACAACAGAAACAACAAAATACTGCAAGAGCAGCCTCTTCATTCCCAGTGGAGCCTCTTAACAAAAGAACCCTAAGGGTCCAAGGACTCAAATAATAGTGTTTTAGGGCCCAAATATTATGAATATTACAGTATCTGGGCCCTGAGGCCCTATTATTTGGGTCCTGGGACCCTTAGGGGAAAGGCCCCTAGATCCTAAGTCGGCTTACGCATCCTCAAAGTTCTCCTACAACAAAGTGGTTGCACGGCTTAGGTTCCTTGATGTAGGACAAGTACACGTTAGGAGCACAAGTTTCCAGGTTTGGAGAACTTCTATAATGCCAGTATTCTACATGCTTTTGGATGTTAGAAATCCCCCAGCCTAAAGCTCAAACCCCCAGGCTTAAGTAAACAATGAAGACAGACCCTAGTCAAATTGTCAACCCCGATTCCAGAGGCTCTGGATGGAGCAATGTAGGTAACACTTAAGGGTTTAAGGGTTTAGGGTTTAGGGCTTTAGGGTTCAGGGTTTAGATTGGGCCCCAGTGTAGGCCTTATCTACAGACTTAGAGGACCAGTTCCAACAGCCCTATGTATATAAGATTTAATGTAAAGATTGGCACCAATGTAGGTAGTGCAGTCTTAGCACAATGCAGGCATCATGTGTACACGTTGGGGCCCTGTGAAGGTATTGTGTTTAGACTTTGCGGCACAGTGTAGGTGGAAATTATGGACATGGGATCCTGATTAGGGATTATATCCGGGACTATACTGAACTACTGCGTCCACTGTGAAGGGGCCCTTCATGGGCCTAAACCCTAAACCCCAAACCCTTACAGGTCACTTAATGTGGTGGAGAACCCTAAACCCCAAACCGTTACAGGTCCCTTAATGTGGCGGCTAAGATTGACAGTAGCTCGTTCAGGTAACATCCATTGACTTAGAGCCCTAGAGTTGGTCTCATTCATTCAAGTTACTTGGAGGTCCAGGGTACTTATAACCTACTTAGTAACTGTAGTTATAACCCGAATATAAGTACCATAACTACAGTTACCCTAGATATAATTGGGTTATAACTACAATTACTAAGTAGTTTATAAGTACCATGGACCTCCAAGTAGGGCTTAATCTACCAGAACCCTCCTTGCACCTTTTTTACGGTACCCCCCCGACCCTTGGAAAGCT